GTTGTTACGACTGAATGGGCTTTTCAATTCTCTATCCAACGATGCCAAAACGAATTCTGTGGCTCGAATGGTTCTTGAGAAACTTCGAATAAAGAGGTTATTTTATTTTTTTAGTTATCTCTGGAATGATGTAAAAATGAGCGTTCTGGCTCATTTTGCATCCGAGAAACATGCAAAACGGGACGGAAAACATGAAATTTTGCCGTAATCTTGCGCCACCCTTGCACGAAACGACGATCATTTTTCTAAGTTCATAAACAACAGAAGACTGTATTTTTTCCACATAACCCCCCCCCCTTAATTTAAAGCTGACTCCGCCCCTGAGCTTGGGCCCAACGACGTTCTGGCAAATAGATTTAGAGCGTTCTACACTTTTTCAAATGAAAATACAGTTACAATTGAGTAACATTTCCGTTAAACTTTGATGAAGAATTTTACTAAGTAGAGACTTCTTCTTTCTAGAATCAGCAGTTTTGGGCCCCGATCTTCCAGACCTTGGAATGTGCTGTTTGCTCTAAACTCTCAACCTGTTGAACCGGGCGATTTCTCGAAGATACTAGCAGAGGATGCAATTGCAACGTTGTTGGTAAGCAAAGGTGTTCAAAGTACTTATGGCCATTTGGCAGGCTAATAGCCCTGCTTAAACTCACCATTTGAGCTAAGTAGACTTGTATTAATTCCTGCTGGGGAAAATACACAGCGGCAACTCTGCATACCGTACAGGGTGTTTCCAGATCATTAATTTAGAAAAATGCAAGCGGGCGCCCTATCCTCCGGTTTCTACCCATTAATCCTCAAGTTCGACTGCACGGACTTTATGTAGACGCTTTGTATGTAGAATCCAATCGTAAAAGCTCGACGATTGCAGACCAGGTGCAAGCCCGCAAACCGTGGCAACACTTTACTTACCTGTCCAGCGACAACTTGAACAGAAGAACGCCGAACCAGAGCCGCAGTTACGAAACGTCGAGTTAGAGGAACAGTCGACGTCGTAGCGTCGTATCGAGGGTCGAGACGCGCGTCTACAAATCCATTTTTTTCCGAAACATTTGCAAAGTCGCGCTTATGGTGGACCATGTTGAGTGAGGTGGTTTCAGTGCGATTTTATTCATGGATATCACATGGCAACTACCAGGGACTTTTTCCATGTAAGTTCTTTTTCCAGAAGTTTTCGAACAATCCGCTATACCGCCCAAGCTTTTTTGCTTCGCTGAAGATCGTCATTAATCTTGTTCATGCCGTTGCTGGTGTTGCTCACACATTGAGCCTCGAGCTGAAATGCTGGTTTTTCAATCGCCATCCCCTTGGTCTGTCTCGGG